TTTTAATGAGGCAGTATTTCAAAAACATATTCTTGAAAATATTATGTACTCTTTTTCTTTTACTCAGATTTTTTTCCATGAGATTTTTTCCTAGTAAGGTTTTAACGAGATATATTCTTAATATAATGGATATTCAAGGGAGAGTGTACTGAATATCTTTGTGAATATTCATTTATGTTATCTATATCTAAATTTGGATATAAATTAGATTGAATGAATATTAGGATTTAATCCATCTAATCCCTTAGTATTATCTTCATATTGTAAATTTAATCTAGATAAGATGTTATTAGCCTATAAATAAGCCCCTTCACTTCATTTGTAAATACACATTTAAATAAGATCTTCTTACTCTTTTTAATTACTTTCTTTCCTTTAAATACTTATTTTTATATTTCTCTTATAGTTGTTCTTTTAAGATTTATTTCATAACAAAATTTGCATTTTAATATATAAGTGTAATTTTGAATATTGATGTTACATTCTTAATAAAATGCTTATAAACCAAATACTATAATGTTATCTTCTTTGCATTTTAATAATTATTTTACTTACAATTATATTATTTATAATCATATTATATTGTAAAGTACCAAACGTCACTTAACAATGGAGTAATGGAAGGAGTTATGTGTTTATTGATTATATAATTTTGGATTGGAAATTTCATTTCCAATACTAATAGATCAAAAATGTTAAAACTTAAGAAGCAGTGGTGATTTGCCCATAGTTTTACTACATCATGTAAATATAAAGTAGTATCAACTTTGTTCTTCTATGCAATGCTCTAATCAACTCAAATTTATGAAATTATCGCATAATCTTGATATGATATCAATTAATATCACAAATTTTCATCCACAATAATTGAAAGTATACTTGTATTACCTTTACTAAAATAAATTTTGGTAAGTAATCATTTATTATATTAAAAAACTTGTAATTACAATAATGTCAAGTTGAAATTCATTGAAAATTTTGATTATGCATTGCTAGATATTTTTCCATGACCAGCAGAGATCCCAAGACCAGTAAAACTTCATGTGTGACTGTTTTACTTTTTGGAATGAAAGGCTGAAGTATAAATTGAAGCCTCGGCGTGGGACAAAAGAAGCGGGCGGAAATTGAGGAATGAGGCACGTGATTCAACACTCTCATGTACAGCTGGAATTTGGATTTTAAATAAGTTGTTTGATCAAATTCAAATTCAAATTCAAAATGGAGTCTGGACTAGTTAGCTGGCCCAATTTAGCTGTAATGGGGTTATCTTTTTTCCTCGTGTACTGCATATGGCGATAATAAATGCAAACCTTTCGAAAAACAAACTATTCCTTTTTTGGAAAATTTAAGTCATATTTAAGACTTTCAATGTGGTAAATTAATGTTTACTTATATTCCTTATTTGAATTTATTATTAAGTATTCCTATTGATATTTTATGTATTAATTCATTAATTATGCAGATTTGAAAGCTAAAAACTAGGAATTAAAATCCTTGAAAGTGTAGTGATTCATTTTGAGTGTTGGTGTAATGAAGAAATTTATCAATACTTTTCGAGGTAGTTCTTAATAAACCAAAATTTAAAATTTTCTCTATATCGACAATTAAAATTATATCCAATTAAGTACTATTGTTTACATTTGGCAAATTGAAGTGTCTAATTGATTGTAAAGGTTGGTGGATTTGGTTTGGATGTTTGTTGCTGGGTTTATTAGATTCGGCTGTTGGCCCTAAAAATTTTGGATTATTATTTATATATCAACTATACAAACTTCAGTATGGATAAATATTAATTTATATTGCAACTTTGTTATAGTGTTTAAATGTTATCTTTGTTGTGATATTATTAATTAATGGCTAAATAATTATTATTTGAATGTTGTTTAGGTTGTTATGATTTTGTTGTGATGTGATTACTTAATGGTCTAAGGCATAAAGTTTGGAAACTTAAAACTTTACATTAGAAAGTATGAAAATGTATTAATTTGTATTTTGATACATAAGGATAATTTTGAAATTAATATCACATTTTCAATAAAGTTTTTGTAAATGAAAAACTGCAATGGTATCTTTTCAAGATTTTATTCAGCACTTTTTTCATATTATTTCAAACACTATAATTTTATCTTTTTAACAATTTAATATCCAACAATCACATTTCGTTGGAATCATAGGTGATAAGGCACACTAGGCCAATAATGTTACTTGCCACAATCCTTTCGCCTCAATTTTTTTTCAACCTTAAAGCATCCAAAATTTATTGGATAAATTTAAAGGTGGAGTCTACCAATTCTTTTATTAAAACATTTTATTTAAACTTAATCTCCAATTTTATTATCAATAACTATTTGAGTTAATTTCAATGTTGGCATAAATTTTTAGGAGACTCTAACCAATATTTTGGTGGAACCCTAAATTATACCTCACCCTAAGAAAATTAATTTGAAGCATGTCGCTATGTTTCAAATAAAATCACATCATAGAGAATTAATTAATAACCATTCATTTGAGATTAAATAATTTAACATGCAAAAGAAATAAGAAACACTGTAATGGGATTGTAGACACCCCATTTTATTTGATGAATTTCATTGCCTTCCCTTTATTTTATTTTATTTGTTCTTATTTTTAATTTTTATCATCATTATTTTTTTTGTGTTGAAATTTACATAAATATATAAAAAAACAAAAATCTAAAAAGGATAATAAAAAATAAAAAAGAAATAATAATAATAATAAATAAGGAAAAAATAATACAAAATAATAAAAAAGAAAAGAAAAGGGAGACTTCCTCCCAACCCTTCCCAAGTAAAAACAAAAAAAGGCAACTGATAGTTCCTTTATTAACCGTGTTGTCTTAAACCAATATCACTTTAAGGTTTAATATTTGATATCATGACACAGACAACAACCAACTATATTCACATAAAGTCTTTTTTTTTTTTATTTATTTGTCTCTTTATGGGGATCGAATTTTTGTTTCTCACCTTTCTTTAAATATCTTGGTTATATTACAGTTGCAATCTCAACTCTTAAAGGACTTGTTAATATTATCCCTTCTCATAATATATATAATAAAGACAAAAACAAAGGATGGGGCCAATTATTCCAAATATTTGCTGCTACATCTAATTACAGATTTGAGAAATTCCTATTATTTATGGTAATTGATTAATAGTTTTGGGTGAATTTATGGGTAATTGAAGATTCTGGTAGTTGCTAGATATGAAAATATTAATATCTAGAGCTTAACCCATCATTTTTTGTTGTTTTCTTGTGCTACTTAAATTATTTTAAAATTTAGAGGTAAAGTTCTTTTAATTAATTTTTTATTTGTCTTACTACAAATATGAATGATTTGAATATCTTTACATAAGCAGGATTCAACTGCACCTCAAAAATGTTCTTAAAAGTTAGCTAAGTTCTTGAGTTTAGGTTAAGATTTAGTTATTTTTTTATTATTTTTATTAAGTTATTTCATTTTATACTAATTTCACATTTATTTACCTTAGTTTAGTTATTGTTTATTAGTTTTTATGTTTTTGTTAGACTTTAAAGGAAAATATATCAATTTGATGAAGAAAGGTGTTTAAAGAGTTCAAGTCCTTTTCATATATGTTGCAGTCTTTTGATTATAACTCTCACTTCAGATGTCCAAATGATATGATTCTTGAACCATTGGAAAGTTGAGAGATATAGACATAACTTTCATGGAGATCACTTTTCCTAGTTTTACCTTGTAGATGAAGAAAATTGCATTGGAAGATGATAGAGTGTAGTAGTTAACAAGAGAAGGCATGAAGCACTAGATGGGGTGTTCGTAGTGTTGAGATGGAAAATTTGAAGAAATAAGATGGAAAAAATAGGCTACCAAGCTGGTTAAGTCTCTATTGGGCTTTACACTTATTCTAAGCCCAAATTAAAAGGTATTAGGCTAAAATAGTTGAGTTTAGTTAAAAATTAGGTTTAGTTTCCAAATATAAATAGATGGCTTGAGGAGAAGTTAGCTGCAAGAAGAAATCCTAAGAGAGATTCAAGAAACTAGAGGCTAAGGCTGAAGAGTGAAGATCAAGGTTGTAAAATTTGTTTATTTTTATTTTCCTTGACTTTTATTATTCTTGTTATTCTTGATGGCTAAACTTCGTATGTTTTTATTTATTCTTGCAATTATGAGTCACTATTTAACTTAGGCATTTGAGATCCTACACACAAAAGGTCTAATTCAATATTGGCTTAAAATAAGACTTTCAGCTTGAAAATAAACTAGAATTACTTGAATTAAACTGATTTAACATGCTCTACCCTAATCAACTAAAAACATAAAAACTACTTGAAAACTATTTAAACCATAAGGATTTAGCTACTTTAACATCTCAAAATGTAGCTACATAACTCTATATAATAGAGTTATCGAACCGTGAGGAAGAATTAAAAAGGAAAAGGATCTAGAAAATTGCAGATTTGATGTAAAATTTATTGGTAAAATGGTATGTTTTAGAGAGAAGAATAAAAGGAACCAATGGGCTTTCATTTTGGTGTCCAATATAAGCACTATAATGCAAATGATATCGTTTTAAATCGAAGGACAAAAAGGAAAAGCATAAATGGGGTAAGTGTGTATTCAAAATGATACCATTTCAAATTTATAAAAAATTAATGGAGAATAGTTGATCCCCGGAATCGCGGGGGGGCTAAATTCTAGTTTAACTTAAAGCAGCCCGAGCTCCTCATGTGGCTGTTTAAAATGAACAAGTGCAAACCACGTCAGTTTCTTCTTCATAAGTAATTGGCCTTCACATTGTTCAAGTCAATCTTGGCATGCAGTCAATCTTCACTGATTGGCCATCAAATCTTCTGTCAACCTTGCAGATATAAGGAACAGTTTGAGATGAGCCTGCGAAAAACGAACAAGAGAGAGGTGTGAGACAAACTTCGGGAGAAATATTAGAGAGAGGATTTTGTGTGAGGGAATTGAGGAAAGAATTAAAGTGAAGAAGTAGATGGTGGGGAACAAGCAGGTGGTGTTGAATAACTACGTGCGAGGGTGGCCGAACGAGGGAGACTTTAGGCTGCAGTGCACAGAGACGGAGATAAAGAGCATTCCAAATGGAAGTGTGGCTGTGCTTCTCAAGAATTTGTATCTCGCATGTGACCCTTACATGCGTCACCGCATGTCCGACAACCATATCTCCCATCCCGGCACCATCCTCCAAAACTCCTTCACCCCTGACTCTGTAAGTTCATTTTCTTTTTGGCATGCCTTGGTTTCGTATGTATGTCTCGTTGTATTGGGGCATAACTCCTCTTTTACTGACAGAGGCCTGAGTTTGGCAGTTGCCCACCCAGAATTTGTGTTTTTCTGTTTAAGCCTGCAAAGTCACGCACGCCACTGCTAGATTGTGTGTCTTTATCATGAATTTGGATATATGTTTTCTCTTACAATCACAGAATCTCATCAAGAACTCAGAAACATTTTAATTTCTATTTCATTTTGCAAAGCCTGAGTCTACCAAGAAAAACAATTTCTAATTCTTTTTTCAGGGCTGCTTTTTTTATTTGACAAATCAAAAACGAATGAGCCAGCCGTCACCTGTTTTCTATTCAATTCAATTATGTCTTCAGCAAATGTATCTTTAATATTTTGCTTTTCTGTCTCATGCTTGGCTTAGTCAAACGAATTATTTTAACAATTGGACGTGCTTACGGTTGACGTGGTAGAAAAGATGTATATTATTTTTCTTAAAATGCATCTTAATCATAAAGATGCATATTATTGTTTTGGATTGGATTTGTTCTATTCAATGCAAGAAAGATATTTCTTTGGGATTAATTAGGATTTATAGTTATCATCAATGTAAGGCACATTAGACTAAAATGTGAAAAAAAATTAAAATTGCATTACCCTTATTCATGGGACTAAATCAAATGAATCGAAATCTGTGTTGTGTTTCTCCTCTTAAGATAGACAAAAACAAAAATACATGCCCCATTGAAAATGCATTTTAATCATAAATTATTTTAATTAATTTTTAAGTTAAAATGTTATCATCAATTGGGGATGGAGTTTTACCATCACATGTATTTTTTTAAAGATATGTTTGCTTTACGGAATAGATTGGCTATTTTAAGATAATGGAATAATGTAAGAATAATTATTATGTAATTTGGTTTATGAAATAGAATAAGGTAGGTATGGCTATTATAACTTATTTCGATCTTTGATTGGTAAGAGTAACTTTGGAATAGTAAAACAATAGGTGATAAAACGATAAAAATATTTTTTCTTATAACATTCGAGTTTTCATTTTAAAATATTTATTTTTTCTAATAATTTATTAAAATTAGAAAATATTAATTTAATAGGATTATTTATTTTTATTTTATTTTTTATAATATTAATAATTTATAATTAAAATATTAATGACCATTTTTTAATTTTATTCTTTATTTTTCAAATATTAAAAAATATAATTTAATTTATATTTTGATTTTTAAAATTAAAATTACTAATTTTTTATAATTTATAATTAACATTAAAATTTAATTTTTAGATTTTAATATTATTTTTTATAATTTATATTATAATTTTAATTTAGAGAGAGAATGAGAGAATGAAATGGGTAGAGAAAGAAAATGTGAAAATGAACAAATTATATCTTATATAAAAGAGTAATTTTCAAAACTGATAAAGAGTAATTTTATACAATAGTATTTTTTGTCTATTCCCCATATGTGAAATAGCCATTAACAAGGTCTCTTTTGGTAATAGTTATTCAAATTTCTCAAGAACTGATCATTCCTCAAAATAGCCTTTTTATAAACTAAATGCAGAAATAAGTAAGTAATAGGAATAGGCAACCAAACAACCTATAAAATTTGTAAATATAAGTTATCACAATTAAGCAAATGGCAAGCTCTTGGATTGGACCCCTTTTCCCAAACCAAGACAAAAATGTAGGCTCAAATAGCATTACTCTTTATTTCTGCCACATATTATTTTAAAAGTCCTATTTATTAGTCGTTTGTTTGTTATATCGAGATTTTAATTATTGTTCAGTCCTTTGCACAGAAACGTTTCTGAAACCAGAAAATTCTTTACTCATTGAAAATAATGTGTATTCTGTTATCCAATTACATTATTATTGCATTTGGATTTAGTGTTTTTATTACAATTTTTACTTTTACTTTGATTATTTTGGAATATATACTCTCTTTGAACTAGTATCTTTTTCAATGCCTTAAAAATTGTCCTATCAACTATTTCATTTATGGTGAGAATTGTACGTTAACATAGTCCGTTGAGGTAGTCATTAGCAACACCTTTAAAATGTCTAAACAAAGAGCGAAAATTCATTAGAATGACAACTTTCTATCTATCTATCGTATGTATGTGTGGTGTTATCTCACATTGGATAAGCTTTGAGTTTAGCATGATTTTATTGTAAAGTTGGGACTCTTCACCTATTGCCAATTGGTTTATAGATTGTGAATTGTCAATTGGTTAATGGGTTGAATACATGTTCTACAAATGTCACATCTCCTACATTCACCTCCCTACTCGTTTATATATTATTCCCTAGTTTTAAAACATTGCTTAATAATTTACAAAGTCAAATATATAAACTCTTATAAACAGTGATTGATCATTAGTCAAAATATCATTTGTCATTTTATGCTAATATGACGCTGATTTAGATGATAAAAATATCACATATTCATGTTATCATACCATATTAGTATTAATTATAACATATCATTATGCAACATCATCATTAATTATGCTATACAGCATGTCACGTTAACGTAACGTTATATGGAATGATAAGTGATATTTTAACTGAGTCAATCATTCATTATAAAAATTTATTTGTTTCAAAATAAACATGTAAGGGTTTATTTGATTCAAAATAAAAATACACAGACTTAATTGAATTTTTCTAAATATTTTAATAATTGTTTTTAATATTATGCCATAAAAAATAATTAATGCTTACTAATTTACACTCTTAGCACTGCCTCTCTCTTATGCATTTTCAAATTAGGTTCTTGTAGGGTATGGTGTCTCGAGGGTGATACAATCCACTCACCCAGACTTCAAGGAAGGCGACCATGTTTGGGGAATAACAGGGTGGGAGGAATACACTATGATTCCTAATCCCGAAAAGCTATTCAAGATCACATATACTGATGTGCCCCTCTCATATTACTTGGGTGTCCTAGGTATGCAATCCTCACCTTCTTCTTTTCTTTCAACCTCCCTACATTTATCGTCTAAACAAATTTTAAAATTGAATATAATCGATTAATCCAAAATTAATAAATAATTTTTAGATGTGGAAGTTTCAATTTTTGTAGGATCTTTTCAGTTGAATCGCCAGTCAATCCTGTTTGTTCAAGGCCTAGAATGCAATCACAAAATTGGAAAGCAAACTCATGCATACCAACCTTTTGTTTTGATACAAAATAGTTAATACTAACCTTCCCTGGTGTTAACTAGCTCGCATGAGTTGGAATGGACTAAAAAAATTTTGAACATAACTATCCTTAACTATTTTGCAAAATTTCTATTTCAAATTTTAATATTTTAAATGAATTATAAAGCATTATTAATATTTTAAGTATAAATTATTCGATATAACAATCTAAATTATGAGAAACAATATTTAATTATAGATTAAAAAACTATAGAAATAAGTTATTAAATATTAACTAAAATTATTATTAAAAATTATTAATATGTTAATAAATGATAGAAGAGTTAATATTTTAAATTAAAAAAAATCGAATTGACGTTTTCATAAAATATTATTAATACTTTTAAATAAATAAAAAATTTAAAAATATTTTAATATTTTAATATTTTAAAAAGAAAACTAGAGAAAAATAGAATAGAATAAAAATAAATAATCAAATTAAGGTTTTAATTAAAAATTATTAATATTTAATAATTATAAAAAAATAATAATTCATATTAAAATTTATAAATTATAATAAAAGGTATTTTTTTTATTATTTAGTACTTTGTTATTTTTGTCAATCGAACATTAAAATACATCAAAATGTCAATGTCATTCTTCGAATAACATTATATAATAACTATTCTATCTTATTTTGTTTTCATAAAATAACTATGTACTTCATATATCACTATATATGCATTCACAATTATGTTCAAAACTCATATAAAAGTTGCATAATTGTTTGGTCGGAAAATACATATGAGGGATGTGAACAAAAGATAATCCTTCTTTCCAAATTGATATCTCTTACTTCCATAAATCGAATCTCCATCTATAGTAGTAAACATTGACTTGTCATCTTAAGACATAGACGACATGGGCACCCAACTTAAATCTAAATTGAGAAATTATATTTAACACCAATCTTACCTCAAATTTTCATTTAAATGCTTCTTCAAGAAGGCATATTTGTTATAAAAGGGGTCTAATATTTACCATATCAAAATGGGAAGAATGTTGAAATGAGTTTTCGAAAGAGACTCAACCTTTAGGATTTTTATTAGATTCAACTTAACTTACATCAAGATTTCAGCCTTGGTTTTATAGACCTAAGCCTCCTGAAAGAAAACCTTAACATCATAGTTATCACCTCATAAAATAATAATATAACAACCGATTGATAAACACTAAAGTCTAAGGGAATGACAAAGATTAAAGGTTAATTCCACATTTGGTAACCTAAGCTATAGCCAAATGTTGATTTTGGTACCTAACATTTAAGAATTTACACTAAGGTAATCAAATCTTTCTCTTGCTAAATTGTTTGCACTTGAGATTAACTCCGTTAATCAAATATGTGACACTTCTCTAACTTAATTCTATACATTGCTTTGTCATGTCACCCATTTGCCTAATTGGTTGCGAAGAGGGTGATCTGCCCAAAGGAATGAAAGTTAAAGTACTTAGTTATGAATTTATTTGATTTAGGTAGAAAATGGACAATTTCACTATAATTCAGGTATCAAATGTGCAATTAACCCAAAGATGAAGTATAGTAAATCAATAAAGATAACAGGATCCTGTTTCTTTTTATACGCAAAGTTATCACTTATCAATAAATATCATTGTGTTTTGCATCAGTCCCTTTTTCTGTATGTAAGTCATCAGATTAATTTCATTTAAATTTGTTTTTTGTCGCAATTGCTTCTGCGTAGGTGTGACTGGGATTGCTGCCTATGTTGGTTTCTTCAACTTATGTTCCCCTAAGGAAGGGGAAACTGTCTTTGTCTCTACGGCATCAGGAGGAGTAGGACAACTTGTTGGTCAGTTTGCAAAGATGATGGGTTGTTATGTCGTTGGAAGCACTAGCACCAAAGAAAAGGTGCAGAGATTTGATTTTATGTCTTCATGATGCTTAACCAGTTCATCACTAGAACCTTACAATCTCTTTATTAATCAACTTGCAAAACACCAGGTTGATCTTTCAAAGGATAAGTTTGGATTTAGTGGTGCTTTCAACTATAAAGAGGAGCAAGATTTAAGTGCAGCCTTAACAAGGTCAGTGTATATCCATCCAAGTGATCATTCACCAAAATTTTTGCACAATTATTAAGCCATGCATCTTTTGCGGTCTCGTATGTCAATCATTGGTTGACATAGAAAGCCTCAACTGGGATTAACTTGGTTGGTACTTCCCATTAGTTGCTTTCCAAGTTTCCAGAGAGAAAATGCACCCCCAGTCAGTTTGCACTTCTAATGGGCGTTGGGGTTGTTGCCATAATAAATATGATGGATGTTTCAACGCTTAAAATCAGTGTAGATACAACTATATATTCTATGCTTTAGAAAATTTCTTTCTCAATCGTTTGTTTTCTTTTGTATATTCTAAGGTTTCCTATCCAAAATTATAAAGTAATTTTTTTTGAGATCTTTATGGCGTGAAGCACTGCCTATTGTGATAAAACTGCTTTCACTTCCATCGGTTTATCCTGCTGGGTGACCTGTAGCCCCATTGTCGATGACTCATCTGCTACAATTTATCTTGCATGCTACCTATACCGAAGAGCCTGACGGCTGACACTATGTATGAGTTTCTTATGACAACAAAAAAGATCCTTGCCAGACAAAGAGGCAAAGAGTTCTGGATTTTTACAAGTTGTTTGGCTTTGCCCAGTATTATGAATTCACAATCTATTTGAGCAATACTAAGTTTTGTGGCTGAAAGCCCAGAGACGAATGCAATTTTTATATTTTTTTCATTTCATATGGAGTCGAGTGCATGCTTTCTTTATTTTGCATTCCTAAATAGACCAATCTCCATGTTATATTCAAGCATAGCTCCTAAAAGATTTTTGTGTCAAGAAAGGTGAGTTATCTGCATTTGGGATTGCCATATTAAAACAACCTTATTAGGACTTTCACTGAATTGATCTAATTTACAGAAACTTTTATCTGATGTTTCCTTATTTTTTTTCTTTTAATTATTCTCTTTGTTTTATGTGGTGAGCATTGAGCTAAGGGTAAGCATGGACTTAAGCCATGCATCACAGAAGATCTAATTTCCTTAAGTTTCTACTTTTATCCTTTTTCTACGACAAAGGTACTTCCCGGAAGGCATTGACATTTACTTTGACAACGTTGGTGGTCGAATGCTGGATGAAGTGCTCTTGCACATGAAAGCCCATGGCCGGGTCGCTGCCTGTGGAATGATTTCTCAATACAATCTTGAAGAACCAGAAGGAATAAGAAACTTGTTCAGCATGATACCAAGGCGTGTAGAGATAAAAGGCTATGTTGAAACAGACTTCAAGCACATATATCCCCAATATCTTGAATTGGCCATCAAGTACTTGAAGGAAGGGAGTCTAGATTATGTTGAAGATGTAGCAGAAGGCCTAGAAAATGCAGCATCTGCTTTTGTTGGAATTTTCCATGGTCGTAATGTTGGCAGGCAGATCATTCGGGTTGCTTATGAGTAGGCTTCGTTTTGGACATCTTTGCATGTTCTTGAAGCAACTAGACATATACCCTTAAAAACTAATTTTATTATTTATATATTAAATAAATAAATTGCTACATCAGTTATGATTTCATATATATTATATTTTAATGGGTATTTATTTATTTACAACATATATGATATGATCATAATTATTTGGTAACATTGTTGAAAAATTATGGTAATGGTTGATGAACTATTACACAAGGAGTCAAAGTTCTTCAGTTCTTTGTTTGTAAAAATTGTTTTAAGTTAAATGTGAAAAACTGTTTAATGCTTAAACTTGTTATACCTCTATCAAAAGGGATAGAATATTTTAACTCTAACATGGGGTAGTGTCACGACCCATTTTTTGGGAACTCGTGTCCGGTGAATGCATCTATATGCATATGGCCCACTAGACCTAAGCAAGCTTTTCAATCAACATGTGTGGCTTATCATCCACCATATTGTGAAATCCCACCTTGATATATGATGCTAAGTTAAGAAATCTTTAGGTAAGCATGCATGTCTCATGTTTTTAACATTCAAAACTAAGTTTTGATCTTGGAAAATTTATGCTTTCATGCAAAAAGATGATTTCCAAATTTAGGTGTTAAAAGGAGTCCAATTGTACAAGTTTCAAATGTTTATTTTTACTTACTGGAGCCTATCTATCAATAAATGTTCTTTATTTATCGATAGATTCAATTAGAAAGGTTTTCTTAAAAGAGCAATAAAGAACATCTATGTATAACTGGCCAAATTTATCCATAGATGGCTAGATCTATCGATAAATGGACACATCTATCAATAGATAGCGACCAAAGAGGTTTTTACAAAGCCTTGAAGGACGTCTATCGATAGATGACCTCGATCTATCGATAAATGACATCGTTTTCATAAAAATAAAAAGGTCAAAATGGTATTTTCACACTCTAAATTATAAATAGGTCACATATTACGAGGGTTGACAACCCTCAACTATTTTACAAGGTATTTTCTAAACCCTAAGCCCTCTTTAGCACATTTTCAACCTAAATAAACCATTTTTGATGATTTTAAGCTTAGTTTTGAGTTTTTATGAACAAGATGGTATTTTTCAACTTTGAAATCTTTAAATCTTGAATTTTCAAGACTAAAAATGTTTTTTTTATGTCCAAATTTTTCTATTGATTATTAAAGCTCAAGGTTTTGTGATTTTCCTTAACATCAAAGCTCACTTAAGGTAAGGATGAAGGATTTATGGGTTTATAAGTATTATTTAGTTAATGAAATAGTGGAATTAAGCTAGAATATTAGTTTAAGTTGAATCTATTTAGTTCCGAAAGTACTTGGAATGGGTATTACAAGATTATAAGTCTAAGTAATTGATTGTAACAATTGTTGAATGTTAAGAACAATTGAAAACTTTGAGGAAATCATCAAAGAAAGGCTGTGATTAGAGCTAGAGGTTGAATCTCCAATTAGGTGAGTGGATATACCTTTTCAAGGATTTTAATATGTAAAGTGAGCATGATTTTTATGGGAATAATTTGCTGTGCTTGATGAAATAATAGTTTAAAGAATAGTTTATCAAAGGATTTGAGTTTTAGGGATTTCAATTACTATTTGAAATAATGACTAAAGGATTTGATTTAATGATGATTGATTGTGTATTAACATCAATGGTTTTCCAATCGTTTACGAATCTATTATGTATGTAAATATGCTACTATGTATTAGTTTTCAATAAGGGGGGACAAGCGTTTTCAAATGTTTGCCTTCAAAATGAGATGAGTGGTATGATGTACATGCTTGACATGAAGTAGCATGTAAGGTGTAATGGATGCATAAGTTCCATTTATAAGATTATGACATGTACGCCATGAGATGTATGTGTTGAGAATGTCATTCACACTATAGGTTAAGCATGTGGATGAATTATGAAATTATGACATGCATACCATGAGTTGTATGTGTTGAGCATGTCATGTACCCTGTGGGCTGAGCATAATAATATGAAAATTTTACATGTTTGTGATCTAAGTTAAGGATACGAATGATCCTAAGCTTGACAAATCCTATGATGATAGTGAGAATTGATCACTATTCGCTTGTGTTAGGGTGGGACCACTCAAAGATTATGGTTGAGGCTAATGCACCAATCACACAGCTATGATGATAGTACACATGAGGTGAACTAGACGGTAGTGAGGACTTTGTCCATTACCTGCTTGAGTGGGGTGAGACCACTCGAATAATTGTGGGTGAGGCAGTACGCCACTTACACAGCATGTTAGGAAACCTTTAAATAATGGGGGTTTGAGCCACTATTTGCAGGAATGAGGCAGACCCACTCATAGATAAAAATGTTATGATGAATAAGGTTAATGAGTCTAAGTCATGGTTGAATGAGTATTGTTTGATATGTTGTACATTTAAATGTTTAGACTATTATTGAATGATTATTGACAATGTTATTCACATTAGATTGTGGTGATATTGGCTTGGTTAGACCAAACCTTTGCCTAAGGAATAGTCCCTTGAGATAGGAGCACTTATGGATTATGTGCAAGATTTTACCCAGCAAAGTAAGTTATAGTACTGATCTGTCAATACTTGAGGGTCATTTATTGATAGCTAAAGGGCAAAATGCTAAATGAAGTATTCTGTGTTCCATCTATCAATAAATCCCAGCATCTATCAATAGATGCTTGACAGACATGAGTTTTAATGCATGGTTTCAAGGATTTTTAAAGGCAAATGATTTCTTGAGAGTTTTAGTAACTTGTTTTCTAAGCAATGATATTCAAAATGTATTTAAATATCATGTTTCATAAACTATATGGAAATGAGTAAAGGTTTATGAATTGCATGTGATTATAACTGCATGGTTACAAAAAACTCTTCCCTTTGGCTTATCCCTTTCCCCGTATCCACTAATAGAGTCTTTGTGATACACACATTATTTTTTCCATTTATTTTTGTTGCAGATAAGTGATAGCACTTTCTTGCTAGCAGTTAGTGTCGCGAAGACGTGGTCTGTTCATTCTTCATTGGTAGGTGTCTAGTAACAACTTGATGCCTAACGAGTCGGGGTCATGTTCCGCTGATGAGTTAGTCTTTACTTTATGATTATGTTTATTGATATTGAACATGTTATGATGATGTAGCTAATGTTTGGCACTTTACTTTATGAATGTTATAGATAAATGTGCACTAACGGCTCAAAAGCCTACATGGACACCTGAGGGTGTTAATAAATGTTTATATGATATTGTGCATGAGATTATGGCATTTTGATGATATATGAGATGATTGCTATAACGACCCACTCACACCGCCGTTACTGGTACACAGGTCATATAAACAAGCCTATACAACCCGACTAGCCTTTTAAGCATTTTATTTCACCTATATTTTCTTCTCCTTTCATTGTCATTACTACTCCAATTAATTTTATCAATCATCAATATCATTGTCTCATCCATAATCCTTATCAAAATAATAATAACCATGTAATAGTTCAAAGTGTTTTGATGACACAACACCACATTTTTAATTTACAATATTTAAAGATCTTAGTCTCAATATAGTTCTAAACTCATTACTTATTACAATTTTAAAATGACTTGACGACTAGACAGCGGACCAATGCAAAGAAAGGTAGGAGAAGCCATTACCTACATAGCCGCAAAAGGATTCCTTGCCAACGATGTCCCCAACTATCTATTTATCTACACATTAAATAAAATGGGTGAGTTTCACAAACTTAGTGATCATCAGCTCCATGAGCAGGCGATGAGGGAAAACAAACATAAAGATGGAATATTTATAAATTCAAGAGTAAACAAAAAAAAAAAACATGGCTCGTACGTATCTTACCATAAAAAGTGCAAAAAGAACCCTATTGATCAATTTGTCTAGGATCTGAATTGGTCATTCCATTGCTCATAGCATGTCTGTTATTAGTCCCACTAAAATCACTATTACGTGGGGGACTACGGAACTAAAAATTTCTTCGTTGATTTGGTGAGCTAAAGAATGTTGACCCTCTAAGTAAGTTACCATCCTTTTGACCTTTTTGACTAGCTGTATTGGCATCTTTACCCCTACTAATGTATCTATATCTAGAAGATCCCTCACCCCTATTTCTTTTACTCCTCTCTTTTTCCACCCCCACCTCTTTACGTCTTGCCCCAGTTTCTCTAGTGGCATCAACTAGCTCGAGATAGGACATAAATCTCTAAAAGACTAAAATTTTGTATATTGGCTCATATAACCCCTTAGTGAACCTCTTGGTCTTCTCCCTTGCAGTTTAAACTAGATACGGGGCATATCTTGACAATTGAGAAAATTAGATGTCATAGTTTAACACTGTCATCCCAAGTGCCTGCATTAAAGTTTCAAACTCATCTGCCTTAGCTTCCCTCAAGCTTTCAGGTCGAAATCTATCCATGAAGGCTTGTGTGAATTCTTCCCATGTAAGAGGGGTAGAACCAGGAGGTATACTGTGCTTGATTGTAATGAACCAAATTTGCTCTACCTCTATCAATCTAAAACCTGTCAACTCAACTACCTTATGGCTGCAGCAACCCAATGTTGTACAAATTTTGACCATCTCATCAAAAAATACTTGTGGATCATAGAATGGATTCATAAACTTTCTATTTGCTGCAAATATAATTGTTAATTGTTTGGTTGATGTAAGTAGATGATGGGTATGTCAAATTGTTTTTTTATGATTTAGTTGGGCGAGTAGAATTAAGTTTAGGAATTATTGATGCAAAATGCAATGCTTGATAAATTTGATTGAGTGCAATTTCCTAGAATTTTATTTTTGGAATGATGAGTATGTGAAATTTATGATGATGGGTATGAAATATGAGTGTTTAGAGGAATTTTGAATTTTTTGCAGATGGTGGTGTGGGATAGTAGAAATTTTTTTGAGTTCATTGAATGGAACATGCAATCAACTGAAGTAGTGACATTGACGAATTAATATTTGTAGTGCTATTTTTGATGAATAGTGCTACTTGCATGATGGTACTTTAAATTGGTTTTGATTGCTTGAATTTCTTTTGCAGGAATGGCACCGAAGCGATCTAAACCAAGTTCAAGTGGTGC